AGGATAAAGCGTTGGGTGCTTGAAGCGGAAAGTATTGACCACAAGCCACAGTGTAAACATCATCACTAGGATGAAGATACATCCATATGACGAATCCTAAACAGGGTGAAATGAGTCTGCTAGACTCCACCACTATTAGCTACTATTTAACTTGACTCAAACAGAACAAAACTATACATGTTTTTTTTCATCCAAATTATATTTTATTACAAAAGTAGAAATAGCCCAAAAGAAAAATAAACAAATATATAGACAGATTAATACAAAATACCCTTTTGACCCTTTCATTCATTACATTATCTACCAATTACTGATTTTTCTTCTTAGACTTATTAACCTTTTCTGATGTATCCTTCATCATAGTTGTTGTTGTTGTTGATGATGATGATGATGATAGGCAGCAACAATTTGTTGCTGAACATAGAAATATGAGAAAAGAACAAAACAATCCAATCGCTGTATACACTGAAGTAAGCATTAATGGCAAGAAAGGTAAACGTTGTCCTAAATAAGTTAATGGCAAGATTATTTTTGTGAATATGAACAGCAGTGTAAGACCCCATAAATGTAAACAACCAATTCGTTGTATAGTACGTTGTAATCGTGACTGATTGCATTCTATTTTATCATTATTATTCTTATTATTCGCCGGTAGAATACGAAATAGAATAAGCCAATGAATACATGTATGAGCTAGGTAAATCGATATGATAGCTGGAAATTCTATGTAATGAAAAAAAAGAGATAGAACGGAGAAGAAATCAACATGAAATATATCCTAAATTTTAATTTTTTTTCATTGAATTATATGATGTGAAAAAAAAGAAAGTACAACTGAATACTGGGAATGTACTGTTTTTGAATCATCAAAAAACATCATGGTATATCCTGGAATTCAATGGGTTAGTCAGAGCTTTTAAAGTCGACTTTTTCAAACTACTTCGTGTTTGCATGCCTACCTTAGCTAAAAATGTGGATCTTCCCTTAAAATTTGTGTAGATTTCAACAACTTGCTTACGCCTGTTACCGCCAATAGAACATAAGCCGCCGACCAAAATTCTCCAACCTACTCTGTCCTGGACTTCCTTTTCCTCCGATTACTGCTAATACCTTTACTACCTCTACTACTATGGGATTTGAGTTTAAAATTACATCTCTGTGCTAATGTGGTATGGCAACATGAACTGATGTACCTACGCACGTACGTACGAAGTTCTACGTTGCTACTGATTGATTGATTTGCTTCCCTTTCCAGTTCTGTCCAACTGTTGTTCATTCTTCTCATGTTCGTCTCCATTTCTCAGCGTAATGTGTTCCTTGGCCTTCCTCTTCTCTTCTGACCTTGAGAGTTCCAAGTGCGAGCTTGTCTGGTGACGCAGTTTGGTGCCTTCCTCAATGTGTGTTTTATCCACTTCTTGATTTGCTACTCCGCTGGAATCTGGTTTGTTTTCTCACACAGTACGTTGTTGCTGATGGTGTTTGGCCAACGAATCCAAAGTATCTTGCGTAGACAACTGATAATAAATACTTGTATCTTATGGATGATGCCTTTCGTAATTCTCCAAGTTTCCGACCCATATTTCAATGACTAGTTAGATAGAAATGAGTTGTATCTAGATTTCAGAAACGAGGCGAGCTAATTGTGCACTCAAACATTTTATTAGCCAAAGAATTTAAAAATAAAGAAATCTATGCAAAATAAAGCAATACATTAATGATGAGCTACGTCGATATGACTCAATAATGAGTATGGTAGTTAAAATTTGTCGGTGTAGGACAAAATAAACACAATAAATGACTAAACTTGTTGACTAATGAAAAGGCAACACTAAGTGGTTTGCGGCAGATTTATATACGACCTGAAGCTATATTGCGGAGTTTCATCTATGGTTAGTCCTAACAATGAACATTTGTTTAATCCATATCCGGTTTATTAAAATCGACTAACTTACCAGCATTTGAAGGAATCAATGGTATGAGGCTGTAGTATCCCAAAGTGCTCACATAAAAAGTAAGAAACCGATATTCTCCAGACGTCAATGTAAACAAGCTGTAAATAAAAATAAGTGTTTGGAAATTATATACAATAATACGCATGCTTTGATACGATATAAACGAATAAAACATGAAATCAGACATAACAACTGCGAGTGCTGGACGAAATCTTACATAATGTCTCGATCGCATTCATATAAGAGTTAGTCTAAAATAATTGTCTCTAATACTTCGAACTCGGAGAAAGGTTGGTTTTATTTACACCCGGATATGAAAGTATAGACGGTAAGTTCTGAAATGTGATTTCCTATGTCCGACAACAGTTTTGTCCCTTGTTTCTGAGGAGGCTCTATTGGTCGTGAGGTTGTCCGGGAGTATCTTCCAGTGAGAGGTGTATCGAGGAAGTACAATAACCTTGTACAGGCTCTACTCGAGCATTTCTGGTCGAGTCAGTTTACTGTGAACAGTCATCAGGATTGACTATTTTAAGTAGTGTTCATCAAGATTGTCCGTTTTCCTGAGTAAATAATACCTGAGTGAGAAGTAAGGGTTTGAATTACTTTTTTTAGCGAGTTAGTTTTTTGCGGGATGAGACGGCGAACCTCCATCCCAACCCTCCTCTTTTATCCGGGCTTGGGACCGGCAGTGGCCCATAAGGGTCTACAGGCGGAGTTATAGGACACATCCAGGTCTGAAACCAGCCTGGTTTTCTCGAGTTTGTTCTTCACGAGCTCTAGTTAGCCATCTAGTATTATCAAGGTTAACATTTTAGACACTATGCTTGTCAAACTAATTCCTATGTGATTGTCACAAGAGGGACTTTTCTTACAGACTGAGACAATCAGTGTTGAGACCATTGAGATGGGATCATGTTCGGTCCCCAGATTCTACCTACGATTTCAGTCAATCTGACTGCTAAAACTGGACCACCATCCTTAAATATCTCAGGGGTTAATATATCAGGACCTGCTGCTCTCTCTCTCTCTTTAGATTTCCTATAGCCTTTCCAACCCCGTTAAGAGTTAGAGGACTTACATCCACTTGCTATTCAGGTTGGCCGAAGATTGTGGGTAACCATAGTGTGGTTGACGTTTAATTGAACCGCGAGTCAACCCAGTCTCCTGAATTGAGAATGAATAATAGTCCTGTCTTTTTCCGACGGATTCTTTACACCAGTTAACTTGATAAGTCCAGACAATTTTTCACTTTTATTTATTGCCGCCGCCTTTTGCGTCTCTTTTGGTTTCGCTACTCACCATTGTTCGCGATCGTTGCACAGTCTTTTTGAAGCTGCTTCCACTCCTCATTGCATTCAAAGCCAGGTGGGATGAGTTTCCGAGCATCTATCAGTTCAATAACCACCGACTACCTCGACAGGTGATGCTGTCTGGTGTAGAAGTAGATTGGAAGAAAGCTATTGGAGGCCGAACCATGACGCGGCATCAGTCCATAAAGTCATGGACAATTAGACTAAACCGTGTTAATAGGTGTAGTATACCTGGTTAGGGTAGCGTTATTATCGTAACTAGTGGGCAGAGACTTTGAATGGCATGACTCAAAATCATTTGTAATGCTACAGGTGCAACCTTTCTTCGTCTTCCCCTAAATTCTAAGCTTCATAATTCTTCCTTATGGCCGTCTTTATTATTTAAAAGTTTATTTCACTGAGTTATACTTCTCCATTCTTATCTTCCATCCCTTAGCTTCCCTATTTGCAGTGATACTGTTACTAATTTTACTATTCTTGGCTTTGGCGTGACAATTTTATCTCTGTGTGCTAATGGGGTATAGCCACTTGGACGGGTGTAAGTATGTCCCAAGTTCAAGTTTGCGACTAAGTGACAACAACAAATCGGACTATCACATAGTATACGTAGAGATCCGTGCAGGCGATTGGCAAACAAGCCGGTTATACATATCTCATGATCTCATCAGTTGTACAAGTCAAAATAAATCCATATTGTATATAATATTTAAGAAATCTAACTATTTAACCCCGTTCATTTGTTGTGTGAATGACACTTTACATTCGCCACTTATGAACTGCATACTCAAATAATTCACGAGAACACATAATCTATTCAGATTGTTCAGTTCGCACATTAAGTTAGAGGATTAAACTTAACACGACTTAATAAAATGTTTGCTACTTTCCAATAGTTTCCAAAGGTTTTCTTTAAAGTATAAACATGATAATAATAAGTTGAATATTGATAATCAATGAAACACTTGCAACAACACAAGAAATACTTACTTCAAGGGTAATAAAAACATTAAAACTGCTTTTTCATGTACATGCCAACCAAACATAAAACATGACCAAGCTGTTATAATTACAGATTTTAAAAAGATATGAGAAATTATAGCAGTTGAAAAGTTGAATAAACGACTTTTTCTCATTGATACACATAAAATAGGCTGTAAAGTTAGAAAAAAGTGCATAATGTATTATTATTATTATTATTATTATTATTATTATTATTATTATTATTATTATTACAAATTTACATACAAACAGTACAAAATACAGATCATTTTGCTACATCTAATTCTAACAAAAGGACACAAGAATGTGCTTGTGATGTTTCTTTTTCCTTGATAATAATCATAATAATCATCCATCTTTACATATAACTACAATTTAATCAGAAGTTGAAATAAAGTTTGTGTCTTACGTGACTTACAACCACTTCACTATAACAAGTCGTGGTTAAATCATTGAGTCACAATAACATTTCAGTCAGGAGACCAGGAATGACATTTTGTGTACTTAACTCGTTAGCATTAGCGGCGCAAGTTGATAAAGGCATACAGAAGGGTTGGTTGTGGAGGCGAAATAGTGATAAAAACGTGTAGGAAGGATTTGATTGTGGCCAATTTAGTCTCGTGCGTTGTTAGGGGTATCAAGGCGGATGTCACTTCCTGGCTGCCTACACCGTGGAGGGATATTTCCTGAGGATCCTGGAAAGGAAGTTGGTCTTAGCCTGCTGGGAGCGTGACTGCAGATACCAAGGTACAGCTGCTTGAGGTCGATCACACGCGGCCCTTTTGATGGGGAGTTTTTTGTGTTCGCTCCGCTCTTCAAAAGGCTTTACCGCCAGAGACGGAAACCTGTAAGGTGTGACATTTTTAGGGTCGACTATTTCTAACCCGTCCATTTCTTTGTGAGAAGGCAGCATCGCTGCAGATGCTGGTTTTCCGCGATAAACACATTACTGCTACCACCACTCTACAGTCAGCAGTGCGACTTTGCCGTTTTTAGACTTACCGTCCTCCAATCGACCTGCCTGCCATGGTAGGACCTAAAGGAACATGTGTTCCAGACAATATAGCTCGGTTGGGTCACGAAGACATTAGGATACCTACCTGTGTAGGGAAAAACACAATGATCTTAAGAACTCCATCACCAAGTTTTTCTTTTATACTGACACAGGTAGATGTTTGGTACAAACTTAAAACACCATAGTCACTTAGCTAGTGATTTTTGACAATGAAATCCTACTTTCTTATGTGACATTGTTTATTATCCATACTACACTCGCTTGACATGAATGAATCTTGTGATATGGTCAATCATAAGCATGGTTAATCCTAGTACCAATGGTGTTCTGACTGGTCTAATAGTACAAATATATATTTTTAAAAATCTAATGTTAGTAGCAGTCATACCAGCATGAACAGCAAACTCAGAAGCGCCGTATGTGAAGGCTTTACGGTAGGCAGAATAACATGCTCCACATTTTCCACTAAACCACCAGTCATGGTTGCAGTAGAGGAAATCTTCTTAGGCCATATGTGAAGAAAATGATCGTCTATAATAAAGGAAAATTGTAAATTGATTATAGCATTTCACTGGCAAGAAGTACAAGTTTTAAATCGATGGCCAAAAACATTTAGATATCAGTCGTCAAGAAATCAAGATTGGGGAAAGTCTGCCCTTCATCTTCAAGTCGTACTCATTACGTTGACGCGGTGGGGTGTTGTTGTTGCTCATAAAACTAAAAGGACGAAGAGCGAACGTCAGGCACTTAAACCGGGTTGATGGATCCATCCAGAGGAGTTGAGAAACTCAGATTCCAGACCAACGGTGTGTAAATGGCCTTCAGAATCCTGAAGAAACAAATGGCGTGTGAACCTATTGCCAGTCACTGACTAACACGAGAATACATATCCAAACATTGGTTAACTGTCTTATTGAGTAGACCTCTAGATCCCTCAGAAAACATGCTTTGGTTTGGGCACTAACACAGCAATCTAGTTCACTCAAAAATTCAGTGATTCTTAGGGTGCATATTTTGGTACCTCGTTGTAACAACTTTTAAGTGTTGAATTAGTTTTGAAATTAATCCGAAGCAAAGGAATTTAAAGTTGAATAAGACCTATTTATAAAGCGTTTCGACAACACCCACATCATTTATCGTCAAACGAACTTTATAACATGCACAAAATAGAAGTAGTAACATTTTAGGAAATCATCGTGGAACCTGATACATGTGCATCGGTTCAAGTTGCTATTTTACATTAACATAGCGAGATAAAATTGTCTCGCGACAACATTCAGAGTAGCAGATGCAGTAACAGTATCAGCAGTAGTAAAAAATATTAGATCTAGGAAAAGTAAAATACGAGGAGATTTCAGGACTTAAGTTCTCTGAAGAGAGACAGAAATAGTCAACTGCAGGTAACAATTAACGCAAGCACGTGCATTGACATAACTAGTGAAATTATAATGCGGAAGATATGAATCACTAATCACAGCCGTGCAATGCTATTTCATATCCTATAAGCGCTAAACCAGATTAACTTCGTTAGAGTGAAAATTTTTATTATCGACAGCTACTGATTCATACTCTGAATGAGATTGTGATTCCTCTACATGGAGTTGAAATTTCGTATTGAAGCACTGAGATGTTAGATTTACTCTTACAAGTTAAAAACATGTCATTCTTAATCTAACTATACAATAAGATCTGAGCGACATCCAGACAGGTAATTCCAACACAGATTTCACCGTCTTGATATGAATGAATTGTATCAAACAGATCAGTTTTTTTTTAAAAAAAGGCAAGTGAAACCTGATATCTATAAAAATCAAATAATAATCTTACCAAGAACAACTAATACTTTATCGATGAAATTATATAAGGACCAGAAATTCGGTGCCCAGTATGCATGACACAAACCCCGATTAAATGGGAAAAGCCGACTGAAAACTTGTTCTAATTGATTCTATATTTTGATATTATTAATTATTATGAGATCATTTGAAACCACAAACTGTCCAAATAAAATATCCAAATGATGCAATCATCACTAGCATAACAACACTGCCAATTTTGATCAATCTTTTGACAATATCGAAAAGTCGACATTTTCCTTTAATCAAATGATTAGTTTAATAATAAATGGAAAATTTCAATTCACTAACCTAAACAATAATTCATCAAAATATGAATAAAATAAGCTGGAGCAATATACATAAATATGTGTTTCAGATTTAAAAGTGTAGTGAACCAGAATGATGCATAGATATAATTTTCCTAGTACAATTTGAGTAGAAGAATTAATGTATGCCTTCTTACTTCAATCATATATGTCATGGATAGAATTAATATCCCAAATAAAAATCCATTATACTGAAAATGTATATCTACAACATTGGTCGGAAAACAGCTAGAAGATGGAGACAATTTATTTTATGACTAAAATCTATGAAAGTTATCATCTCATGCTTTATTCCTAAATTATTTTGGTAACAGACACAAACTATTACATTAGAGTGCTTTAAATATGTGAAAGCAAGCGTTGAAGAACAGATATAAACAATATAAATGCAGTATAGTATCGAGAGACAAAATCAGTCAGTCAGTCAGATGCAACGTAGAACTTCGTACGTAAGTACATCAGTTCATGTCGCCATACCACATCAGCACAGAGAAGTAATCGTCAATTCAAATCCAATAGTATTAGAGGTAGTAAGGGAATTAGAAGTAATCGGAGAGGTTAGGATTAGAAGATACTATTCAAGAAGTATGATTCAATGAGAAAAGTTTAGAAAGTCAAAACTAGAGGGGTTGAATAATCCAGAAGATTAGGATTTGAGAGAACACAAAGAATAAATGCACCGGCGCCATTGCGAACGATTCTCAGCCATGTCATTCAAGGTGTCTAACCATCGATTATTATCATCTCGCGGACCCCAACCAGGTAGTCGACGATTACCGACATGGCTCAGTCCACTAGTCAATGACTTCATGGATTTGCTGCCATGTTTTGGTTTGGCCGCCCCTAGCTTTCTTCCAACCTACTCCTACACCAGAAAATAAAGCTCTTCGAGACAAACTAATTCAAAATCTTTCACAAGTATGAATTGTTTGAAGTAATTGTTGTGCTTGGATATATCTATATTTTCTCACTGGTTAGTTGAGTATGATAACATAAAACAAAATGGCTAGTGTTATTTAGATTATGACAATTTTAACTGTACCTAATGATTTTACTCTATTTGTTGCTTGTGGGAATGCTTCAATCAGTTCACTTTAATAATTAAGCTAATTATCATATAATATTTCTGTAAATCATAACCAGCATTATCTGTCCTATATACTCCGTAAACAAAACACAAAACGAAGGAAGATAATGGAAAAACGGGTCGTTCATTTTAACTTAATTTTTTGTTATGTTTACAATCCTAACGAATAAGTAGTAGCTAGTGAATACGACTGAAAGTGTAGATGGCGCTAAATTACTCAGCACCTGACTACTTCCACGTCAAATTGTGAGAAAAAAACAAACAAAAAGGATACGGTCAACAATAAGCAGTCCAAAATTGAATGCAAAAAGGAACCACAGTGGATAATAACTTCGTTTTAAGAATCCACTACCGGACTGTTTCAGAGAATGCAGTAATCTACAACATATAGTCATAATAGGATCAAATTACCTCATAAGGGCTGCAAACATTAGAAGTTCAGTAATAATAACACTAAGTCGTTGAAAAATAATGAGCCCGTTTGATACGTATGGATGAGAGGTAACATTACAAATATTGGGATCAATTTTGACAGCTATAAATGATAAAATCCATTCGAAAAACGCAAACAATGGAGGATAGTCCAGTGTCCATATTGAAATTTCCTAAGCAGCATATGAAAACTATAATATAAAACGACTTACGTCAAAGTACCACTTAGAAACTGGAAGTGAACATGTAATTGCAATCCAATTGCGATGTACTTCAAAGTCAGTTGAATGACTAACCAATAGAATTAGATAAATTCCTTACTAGGAAAAGAAGAATAAAGCCTTAAAAGCTGCAGCTGCAGCGACAATAGAAAACAGAGCAATCATAGACATAGTGAGTATGTAATATTTCTAATTGTTAGTTCTTGTCAAGTAAACGTAATGAATAGTATGTGTGTCAGAAACTGGGAGTGGTTCTTATTTGTTGCTAGATCCAGAATATTTTCTTTATCGAAATCAAGTACCTGAAAGAACAAAAAGATAAATTACTAAGCGCTAACACGTGAAATGGAAAACTTCAGAAGCCATATCCAAAGGCTGAACTAGTAAAGCGTATCAAAAACCCATAACAGATGTATATCCTTCCTTTGAAAGAACGAACTCATTTTAAAAAATAACTCGGGTTCTCGATTCCACATGCTAACTCTTAATAATAAACATTTAGGATGAAACTTTGTGTCCCTTGTTATGTAATGTGAACACCTTTAAACATACCACTGAAAATTCATATATGAAACTACTGTTTACCAATAAGACATTTTTAAGGTTTGATAACCTCGATTTGATAAGCTATTATAATCTTGATTGGTTTCTCGGCTTATTTTGGTATGGCAGACAGTTGTTAGGTCTATGTGGTGTTCGACTGACTGACTATACGAGGAGTTCGAGATGATACTATAAGGGACGTAACAGAGCTGAATATAGTTTACATACAATGTAGTTTACAAGCTAGTATTAACTGAATAGTTCATTGCTACACTACTCTTTAGTGACCGAAGAGTTCACGTACAACACATTTGAGTATAGATGAGTTTATATGTATAATATACTAAGCGATGTTTGATCATAGTCGAATGGTAAGTTAAACGTCGTATGCAACGTAGAGTTTGGGATGTGTACATCGGTTTAAGTTGCCAAACCACATCAGCAAAATGAGATTTAATTCGTTAGGGAAAATTCCCTAGTAGTAGAGTTAGTAACGTTAATGGTAATAAAATTAAGTTGAGAAGTTACAATTCAAATAGGAAATATGGATTCATCTAATAAAAAAAACCTGCAAAGAAATTTAAGTTGGCATTTAAGGGGAGATTGGACAAATGCACTTGAGCCATTGTGAATGGTTCTGAATCATATCAACCAATTTTAGTTATAATTTTGATTACAGTAATCATGAGGACCCAATCCAGATAATCTGCACCTCTATACGACTCAGTTCGACAATGCATCCTTATAAAACCTTAGTTTGATCGCCTTTAGCTTTTTCCTAACTTTTACACCGACCCGTCAACTTAGGCAATGGTTGGACATACATGAATATATACTCTAACCACATAAGTCAACAAATATGCACAACTTTATAAGCTTATCTGCCATCCTAGTTTTTAGCAATCGGCGTCTAACCTCAGACTCTAACCCCAGTGATACGAGTTGGTGAACACCAATCAAGCTTTATGAGTCAGTGATGAGATCTCGTCCAGAACAATTCGTCAGATATGTCGAGATCTTCAAGTGAAGTGATCAGCATGTTCAATTAATGAAATCACTATCAATAATTTAAGCGATAGATCAGACTAATCATGAAACGAAATTTCGGAATTAAAAAGGGGAGACGAATCTCGAACAAGCCAGGATTGTCGCTTGAAGAAAACTGACTTTCTCAGTTTTAACAGCAATGGGACTACATAAACATATTATAAATCAACAAGCAAATGTTCTGATATACTGATTCCTGAAAAGTGTCTTCTTAACTAGGAATGTCTATGACAACGTTGAATAAAGATAGGTAAACAGCACAGTCCTGGTGAACAACACTTAAAAATATCGGTTCTCAAGACATTAACCATGAGCTCTGGACTGTACAAAAGTGTTTGCTTAGGGCAGTATGCCTAACAATAAGACTCAAAACCTGCAGACCTATTGAGCCAGTTGCTAACTTGAGGTCTAAAAGTATAACCATTTCACCGGGTTACAATTTTAACTTAATAATGTACAAATAACTATTTCAAACAAAAGCCTGAGGACATCGACCTTCAGAACTTACCCCTTAACACGAGTCCACCGAACAAGGTCAAATCCGCACTCTACGCTTTCACCGAACAAGTTCTGCCATACTAAAACAAACAGGTGGCAAATAGTTTTTCTTTGCATTATCACTCAAAATGTTCGAAAAAACTCTTCGTTTGTGCTCCCTACTCATTTAATGCTGTTAGATAGTCTTCACTAAATATTTGTAGACCACTATTCCAAGGAACTACATTGTTATCACACTGAAAATAATTTTCTCTTAGCCTAAATGTTAAGCACACTGAGTATTGTTAGTTCATATAGGAAACCTTTTTATACCAAGCACTGTTAATCTGAGGTAGTCTTTCCAGGATTGGTGGTCTTGCTGGAAGTCGTGCATAATTTAGTGTAGAAGTCTGTGTCTAGCCATAATGTACTTCATTTCCTAAGGGTGCACGGGAAATAGTGTGAGTAGAGGGAACTAGAAAAGAGAATGGAAGAAGAGAATTTGAGCTGACGGCCTAGTAAATGCACAAGATACACTCGCATTTAATGAGAACAGTTATAAACAACAATCAAAAATAACTCAAGCCTCTGATTAAGAGAACGTGGAGGCCAAAAATAGAAGTATATAGCTTGATTATCCCAACCGGCTACAGTCCTTACTATTGGTATTAGTGGACTTTTGTTTGATATTATCAGCACAAAGTTTTAACAAGTACTAGATAGTAACACACTATCAGCTGCTTCTGAATTCAACATGAGCAGTAAAAAAATTCTAGGGATATTGATCTGTGATGAGGCCCAGCACCTAACTTGCTATTGATTCCAAGGATTAGCTGAAGTTGCTTAGCATTTGAATAAACAATCTGACGCTAACTCGTACGGCTCCCTCTTCTTTATAGCCTGGACATCAACAATGTACATCAATCCAGATGTGCTTGAATCATAGTAACAATTGTAGCTTGACCAGCCTCACTAAATTATTCCTAGAAAAGCTTCGCAAATATTCTGAAATTCACTTTTAGCTAACTTTTATTGAGATAGATTTATACTCAAAACCCTAGAAGGTACTATGCACAGCTAGTTGATAAAAATTGCATTGTACTTTAAGTTACTCACCTCGCGAACTACTTGCTATGTGATATTCTATATTTATTTCATACGATCACCTAGCAGATATCAATTTTCTGTTTCTCGACAATAGTTAGTAGTGTCCTCGTCAGTAGTAGTGTCTAGCCATTCAATGCGTCACAACAATTTCATCCTCTAATTTTTCCTTGACTTGTAGCTTTGATCTCAACACTTTCCTTCCCCACTCGCATATATATATATAAATATATATATATATATATATCGCCTGTTTAATTTACGAAAGTGTCTGGTATAACGAATCACTGAAAATTAGAAGCAGCAGAGTAGCACGAATAAAATACACAAATCTACTTTCTGGTATCAGATTACCTTGTTGGCTAATCACAGTTAATAGTGACCCTCGATGATTGCGTAACAACACCTAGTCGACCTGTGGTAATGGAAATGAACTGAAAACAGTATTCAGTGATATATAAGATAACACAATTGCTAAGATGGAAACATTTATTATTGTACTTAATTCTAACAATAATTGTTACATTTTACTCCTTTTGTTTAACTGTACAAAAGACAACCTCTCGGGCTCCAAGTGTGTCATTCCCATTCCGCTTCTTTATTCTGGTCTTGCTATTATTTCGATATCACGAGGCCAGCGATAAATACACTTCTTCATCCGGAACAGTCTTCTTTCTGATTTCGGGATTTATCGGGATTTACCTTGGTAACCCCGCTCACTCACTATAAGTCCATGCTGAAACAGTGCTGATTTGTATGACTATAGTTGAGGCTATACGTTGTGTATGCAAGCACTTCGATTAAAATACAACTATTGCGGATGCAGTTCTAACATATGCGAAATCTGCTTACTTACTTACTTACTTTCGCCCGTGACCCTCAATCGAGCACAGGGCGCCCACCAGTTTTCTCCAACAAACTCTGTCCAGGTTTTGTCCATTCCTCTCATATCTTTCTCTATTTCTCAGCGTAATGTGTTCCTTGGTCTTCCTCTTTTCCTTTGGCCTTGAGAGTTCCAAGTGAGGGCTTGTCTTGTGACGCAGTTAGGTGCTTTCCACAGTGTGTGTCCTATCCACTTCCACCACTTCTTCCTGATTTCCTCCTCCACTGGAATCTGGTTTGTTCTCTCCCACAGTACGTTGTTGCTGATGGTGTCTGGTCAACGAATCCGAAGTATTTTGCGAAGACAACTGTTCATAAACACTAGTATCTTCTGGATGATGGCTTTGGTATTTCTCCAAGTTTCCGCTCCATACAGTAGAACCGTCTTGACATTTGTATTGAAAATCCTGATTTTGGTTTTGATAGAAAGTTGTTTGGAGTTCCAGATATTTTTCAACTGTAGAAAAGCAGCCCTTGCTTTGCCAATCCCCCCCTCACATCTGCATTGGATCCAGCTTTCTCGTCGATGATGCTGCCCAGATATGTAAAGGTGGTAACGTCCTCCAAGGCATCTCCTTCAAGAGTGATTTGGTTGGTGTATGTTGTGTTGCATCGGAGAATTTTGCTTTTTCTTTTATGTATGTTGAGACCTACTGCTGCAGAGACTGCTGCTACACTGGTAGTCTTCTCTTGCATTTGTTGTTGCGTGAGATAGAAGAGCCACGTCATCTGTGAAGTCCAGATCGTCCAGCTACATCCTAACTGTCCACTTGATACCGTGCTTCCCTCCAGATGTTGACGTCTTCATAATCCAGTCGATGACCAGGAGAAAGAGAAAGGATGAGAGTAAGCAACCTTGCCTGACACCGGTCTTCACCTCGAAAGAGTCTATTAGCTGTCCTCCGTGCACGATTTTGCAGTTGAATCCATCATAAGAATTCCGTATGATGTTAACTATCTTCTCAGGCACACCGTAGTGTCGAAGAAGAGTCCGCAGTGTTTTCCTATCCACGCTATCGAATGCTTTCTCGTAGTCGATGAAGTTGATGTAGAGTGGTGAGTTCCATTCAACTGATTGCTCCACAATGATCCGTAATGTTGCAATGTGGTCGGTACACGATCGATCCTTACGAAATCCAGCCTGTTGATCTCGTAGTTGGGCGTCTACGAAGTCCTTCATTCTGTTTAACAATACCCTGTTGAAGACTTTGCCTGGTATTGAAAGAAGAGTGATGCCTCTGTAGTTCTCACACTTGCTGAGATCACCTTTCTTTGGTATTTTGATCAGGTATCCTTCTTTCCAATCTGATGGTACTTTTTCTTCATCCCAAAGCTTCTTGAAGAGGATGTGAAATATTTTCGCAGTTGCTTCTACATCTGCTTTCATTACCTCTGCTGGAATGTTGTCTGGTCCTGCTACTTTGCCGCTCTTGATTTGTCTGATGGCCATACTGATCTCCTCAATCGTAGGTGCGCCAGTATCAGCTCCTCTCTTGGTTCTCACATCCTCCATGGTCCTTCTGAACGTTTTGTTGATACAGATATGGTCAATTTGGTTTTGGGTAGTGTAGTCCGGTGAAATCTGCTAGCCGAACATAATCCATATCGAAAGGCGAGGAAATCGCTCATTTCTCGATTACAGAGTGCCACTGCAATGTCCTCAAGAATGCGATATTCTCTAAATAATCCTAGTACTAATTTTATCAGTGCAAAAATTTTTATCGTTCATTGTCTTGTAAAACAGTTAATAATATATATACGTTCATATAAACTGATATACAATTCAAGGTGAAACTAAATTACTTAACCCACCACATCTTTTTGCATCCAATCCACCTTGATCGCCCACTCGACAAAATTTGTGGCCATTTTTTTCTCTCAATTAATCTAAGCTCGTCGAAAGTCCTGATAGAGCAAAGACATCTGTCTATTTTGGTGTCGAAAATATTTTCAGATGATGTTGAGCTAACGATGCCCCTCCTTGTGAGGTCATCAGAATGCCCATCAAACTCCTTAGACAACAGTTGAAAATTTTCAGCTATTTGAGTAAATCAGTGTGCAATTTATAAATAGGGTGGGATAAAAGAATCTGTTCAGATGCCTGTTTGATAACCAGCACTTTAATCGAGCACTCGAGTTTACTTAATTTACTTTGAGAAAAATTTGAGGAAAATTTATAGTTCCGCTGGATCCAGGAAAATTGGTTGACTTTGTTTTTCCTGATGCTGACGAAGTAAATTGCCCAGAATGTCTGACTAAAATATTCATTTGAACATTCGTGTTTTTAATTCTATAGTGTTCTTCGGCTTATATTTCTGCGAGATGTAGCGCCACAAAGTTTGGACCATTGTACGGATACATTCGCTAAATCAGTACGATAGTTACCACTAATAAAATAGGCTAACCAGAATATTTCATAAACAGTCAGTGAAAATGACTGCCAGCAAGTCCTGTATCTGTCATGAGTGGTAATAAGATTAGATTTAGGGGCCGAAATCCATACTATTTACGAACAAAGCAGCTTTAACACAATAATTAAGGTTTCGCAAACCTTTTACAGATGACACCTGGTTATCCTGACCCCAAACTAAATTCATCACGCAATCAGCTACACCTGATCCTCCAGACAAATGAATAATCATTCTGCCCACTACTGATACATCATTTATAGGACAAGATTTCATGACTGAAGAAACTGCCTTCAAATTTCGCGTTGTCCTGAAACCTATCGTAGTCATGACAAGACGGAACATATATTGAAGGAAGACACAAATTTTTAATAAAGTGTGTACACTTTATTTTCAGACATTCGTTGCACTAAAAGCAGATCATTGATTGTCTTCTTTCATATATATTCAGGTCTTCAAATACTTTGATCACCATACTTTTCGATCTGATACTATTCCCTCCGGTAGTAAATTTTCGGAAACACTCCGCCGCATATTACTTTGCGGCTGCGTTGTGAATGGTACCCATCACAATAGTAAGTTATCGGGTCCTAACGAGTCACACCCACGACTGCTGTCGTGCCTCTTGAAAACCCTCACGAAACTATTCAATATATCTCTTTCACAAACTCAGGTCCTCAAGGACTCTAAGGATACGATTGGTGGTCGACAGATCGAGTTCAAACCCCGACCCGTTAGTCTAACCAGCATAGTAGTCAAGAAATTTTCGAAAAGAATTTCGGATGTGTTATTAAGTCAAGTGCATTGACAGAATCTGATAACTCCCGAGAAACGTGTGATTAGTAATCAGCATTCATAATTAACTACTAACGACGGAAGATTAGACATGGACATAAAAAGATGGTTTACAAATCACCGCAGTGTCTATAGATTGTAGCAAGGTGTTTGACAAGGTTTCTCTGTGTGATGGCTATCAGTTGACTGTAATTATTTTATTACTTTCATGTGCACAGGAAAAATAGACTTATGGGTAATAATGATTCAGGACTTGAACAAACTACACATTGATATGCTGCAGCTGCCACATGCTTTCCAGTGTTGTGGCCACCTCGCTTAATACTGAAATCATTTGATAAGGATATTTTGTGCTTCATAACTCCTATATGTGCGACTTAAGTCAGTGTATTACATTCAGAAATATCGATCGAGTGAGATTCCTTTTTTGGTCAGTGACAAGAACGCCGGACTCGGAGAAATAGTATCAACCTACTTATTGAAAATATTCAGGGAGAAGGTGAATTCTCGCTCGAAAACAAGCTTCAAAGATAAACAAAGGGCAAACAAAAACTACTTTTGCCATTGGAAACTGTAGGTTGACAGCGTGTGCTGTCTTCCGATCACTCTTTCTCTTGGTATATAAAATGGTCAGTGATATAAAGTGGTAGGAGAAAAGCTGAAAGGATGAACTTAGGCCAACCATGGACTGATTTATAAATTTGGTATCTACGATATCATGGAAATCCGGAGTTTGATAACGCTTTTGTTCGTAAACATTTCAGTCCGAGAATGCACGAAACCAGAAGACAGGAGTGAAGAGAATTGACGATGTATTTGAATGATAGTTGAGATATCAGGGAATGAGTGAGTTTAGCGAGGATATGGGTTACAAGGTGTATCTTCTGATGATCTGGTACGGATGCGTAACTGAGCTCCTTCAGCTACGGTTTGTCCGGTATAATTAATGAGGTAAACTTCATTATCGAAGACCTATCGAACTATTTATTACGGGCATTTATTTGTCTATAGAGTGTGAATATGTCTTATCTCTTCCTTTCATTTAGGATTCATCATTTGGGAGGACTTTCTAAGAAAGTTCGTAAACCGTGATTAAACTGTTTACGTCTGGAGTCCTGTTTGTAGTATAAGGCAGTGAAATCCTGAAATTACCTACTAGAACTTGTAATATCATCATGTTCTCTCGATACACCCGAAGTGAGATTAGATCTTGATAATACCGTGAATTGCAGGAATTAATATAGGTTGACTGACCAGTACTTATTACTGAAGGCTTTTAGAATTGGTGTGTCCGTAAGATATGAAAACAAATCATTCTGCATATGTAATTGAAAGAAAGGTAGAAAAAGATACTAGTCCCAGGGATTAGCAAGTGTATTTTCGATTATCTGACGTTACCAAGCGAAACTGAATATCTATTAGGTCGTTGAGCGAAAGACGATTCCTCCGCTACATCCGCATGTTATGTTATGGTCATGGTGGATGAGGTAGTTTGCTTTATTTAGGTAGTTTTATATATTGTTAGACATGCTGAACGTTTTTATACATAAACGCACGGTTTCACAGAATTCTCTGATGTATGCATCATATAGGATCTATCAGTCTGTCATCATGTGTAAAGTATTCCTATTTTATTAGCTATTTCAAGCATAATTAAGTAACACATTTATGTCAAAAGCAAATAATTCTGGAATAAAAATGTCATACTAAGCTGCCAGTTCATTTTCGGACAAGATTATCTTTTCTATTGTATGTGTTGTCATCGATATTCTGCATATATTTTGGTCTGCTAGAAGGCTGTATTGAATCCCGATTGTTTTGTGCAGGGCATAACAAACTTGATACTCGTACGATTGTTCCAATAAGTAGCGTGTTGCAACGTGTATGAGGTTTCAGTCACCAGTAGTGAAACTGAAGAACGGATGGGTGTAGGGATTTGAAGTTCTTGAGAAATATCCCCTGAGCCAACGTTTGTTTATAGCACAAGTATGAGTCACAAACTTTATCAGTTCATCTAGCATAGCGTTGGCGTACTCTCCCACTAGCTGCGTAAATCTTTGTACCAATTAGAGTGAGTTTGACTAATACCTTTTTCCAAGTCCTAGGTTTAATTGTACATCCTCTTTATCTGATGAATGTTAAACACATGAGAGTTTTAGTTTAGGAATCTCACATTGCGAAAATTACTAACATCCTGGAGACGAATCATCTCCATTTATTCCGTATAACACAGTTTAATTTCAGTTGGCAGGAGCTTCACACTTTCATATGTATACATTGTAATTGTTATTGAGAAAAGGGACATAACGATAACCGTAGCGTATTAACGCCAATGTTTAATCCCCCCAGAACATAAAAATGTTTTTGTACCTCACTTATATATTTCCATTTTATCGTTTGCATAGCGTATTTTATCGAAAGCCGATGTAGTTCCTTCACTTCATGGTTGACAAACGATTAGAATAAATCCAATATACCTGATGATCAGTTATCATGTACCTTAGTATTGTAATAAATCAGTCGAAGAAGAATAGTGACCTGATTGTACATTAACCTTTGCATTAAGTTGTATTAAATAACTCTTTTATGTACTGCGTAACTGTTTCATCAGATGATCACTTCGTGTTTGCTCAAGGATATCTGCTTGTCATTTTGGGATTCGTTAACATCTGTCCTTAATTTGGTTAGCATATGTCTATCTTTTACTTTTCAGGATCTCGATGATTATGAGTCCCTGCCCGATAGTAGTCCACTGCCACAACATATGCTTGCAGGTGCATGTGCAGGTGTAATGGAGCATATCGTCATGTATCCTGTCGATTGTGTCAAAGTAAGTCATACTAATTCAGCTTTTAGCTCTTTTTTTCAGACTAGAATGCAGTGTCTGATGCCTGTTGGTAGTTCTAATTGCCCAGGTTTACTAACTGGTGTGTATCGTCTCATACTTCAGGAAGGAGTATCAGGAACCTTAAAAGGTAGTGGTGCAGTGATTTGGGGTGCTGGTCCAGCACATGCTGTTTATTTCGGATGTTATGAAAAAATGAAGTCGTCTTTAGCTACAGCTCCTATTGGATCGACACATGTAAATCATATGATAGCTGGAACTTGTGCAACTTTGCTGCACGATGCTGTCATGACTCCTGCAGATGGTAAGTGAGCAAATAACATATCGGATGTATATTTTATCGTATAATGGTATTTGTGGCAGACGAGCATTCTACCATTGAATCACCGACGCATCATACCAGATAAAGTCGCCAATCATTAAATGTAGTCTTGTGAAAAGATTTATCCGAAAGCGTAGATTTTGAAAATTCACACTGTTCCTCGAAAACCCTGTTTGTACTACATTTCTATATTTATTTTATCATGTCTTAAAATAGCGTGTACATTAATATAACACTACACACTATGAATTTAATAAAAAGATCAAAAAACAAAATTCACACGCCAACTTTTCATATTACCATTGTTAATAACTTACTTTTCATCACTTGACGAATATAAGTGGGTGTATTCTAGTCAAAGTTGCGACCTTTTACATTAACAGTATTACAAGTCAAAATTGAAAGGTTAGCATATTTTCGTACATTTCTCATTATTGGTTAATTTTTCTATTGCCATTGCCTGTCCAATAAATAGTAATTGGAGTCATATCGATTGCTCAGTTGTGGTCTTATTATCATTGAATAAATATTAATTATTTACTGAGCCACGAAATCCGATAAACGCTGTCTACATCTGAACCAAAGTGGGGTGGTTATAGATAACTCATTATTTGAATTCATTCCCATTTTAAATTATATTCAGTGTTTTCGCAATATTTATCGCGGCTATGTTATTAGTATTTTCTGAGAAATTGTTTTACCCTTTAGCTCAATTCACTATGATTAAATAGTAATTAATGTCTGCTGGGTAATTGATAAATTCTATCCCACTTTTGTTCATTTTTCAAATAAAACAGCTGTGAAACAACGTCTGCAAATTTATAATAGTCCTTATCACAACAGTCTTGATTGTCTTCGTCGAGTATGTTTAACAGAAGGACCCAGTGTATTGTACAGAGCTTATTTTACACAATTATCCATGAATATACCTTACCAGACAATTCATTTTGTTTGTTATGAGCATGTTCAGAGTTTAATAAATCCCAGTCGTCAGTATCTACCTTGGACTCATGTTGTATCCGGAGGTATAGCTGGTTGTTTTGCTGCCGCCTTCACAAATCCCTTAGATGTTTGCAAAACTTTATTGAATACACAGGTAAATGAATAAATATTTCTGTTTGGAAACGCTAAGTGTATCTTATAATAATTTTTAAAGTAGTATAGCTGTATACCAAAATGTTTTATCATAATCTACACCCGACTGTAGCTACTACCTTGCCGAGCTCTGTTGCGTGGAACATATATTCCTTTGGGTCCCAACATGCTAGGCAGGTCGATCGGAGAATAGTAGGACTAAAAACAGCAACTTGAGGTCTGAGGATGTAGTCGTACTGCTGACTGTAGAGCTATGACATTAGTAAAGTGTTTCTCGCAGACAACTGCAGCAATGCTGCCCTCTCACAACGAAAAGAATGGGTTAGAATAAATCGACCTTACAAATGTGACACCACCTCGCCGCACAGATTTCCGTCTCCGGCGGGTAAGGCCTTTTGAAAAGCGGTTACAGCACTTCAAACTTCATAAAAAGGCCGAGCGCAACCGGCCTGAAGCAGTTGTCCCTTTGGCTCTGTGATCATGCTCCTGGGTCGCTAATGCAATTTCCTTTTCGAGCTCCTCAAGAAAAATCCTTCCGTGGTTTGAGAACCCCGAAAGTGACATCCACCGCTATATTCCTATCAGCATACGAAACCAAATTGGTCATGGTAAAATCCCCCCTATACCTGTTAATGATTCCCTTGTCACCACTACTAACCATTCTCGTATGCCTTTATCACCTCTCGCCTCCGATGCAAACGATTCAAGTACACAAGACGTTATTCCTGGTCTCCTGAAATCTCGCTCTAAACTACAAGTTGGAGCTTTTAATGTTCACACCTTGTTTCAAATTGGACAACAGGCTTCCTTAGCTAGGACTAGGCTCTCGTGCCGTCAGTGTATACTGCATCTCTGAAAAGCGCATACAGGATCCGAATAAAATCATACATTTGACCTCACTTTGTCAAGATGAAGAACCAGCTCGGTTTACACTTCGCGTGTCTGGAAACCCCACTGCTGCTTCCGTGGCCTCGCTGGTGTAAGTATAGCATTGAGTTCTAGGGCAGAACTAGCTCTCTTAGACTAGATCCCAGTGGATAGTTGCTTATGCACTGTCCAACTAAACGGGACAGCGAGGGCTCGGAAAGAAAAGGACACTCGTCATTGCCTCTTCCTCGTATCTCCCTATGTTCCCACTGATTGCAGAAAGCTTTCGAACCTCCTTCAAAAAGCTTAACACTTTGATGTAGTAATAGTAGCGGTTGACTCAAGTGGATGGAATAAACTGAACCATTTCTGGCAAATACCGACTTTAAACATGAAGAACAACACCTTTTGACATTGCGACCCTCAAAATCACGCCAACAATGGACCCAACTAGATCACATCGCTATCAACCATCGATGGAAAAGCTCCATAGAAGACTGTCTCTCATTCTGTAGTAGAAATTTAGACGCAGACCATGCTATAGTATAAACATATATTTGTCTGCGTCTTACTGGACGTAAGAGATACTCAGTACTACTCAACTATAAAAAGCCAAGAGTATATTTCAGCAGCAACTAGAGAAGCAGTCAGGCAGTCATTTAAGTGATGCCCATCCCGAGGCAGTTTAGAACGAAATCCAGAAAGCTGCGGAAACAACAGTGATATCTGCTAGTAAATTAGGTGGTAAGGTTAGGGGGAAGCCGTGAATCTCAGTAGCATATACTGAACTGATAGATGCCCGAAAAACCCATCCCATCTGGCTCTGAACACGATGAGGAGCGGAGCCAGCTCAAGCACAGCCGGATAAAATGCATTCGCAATGATCGCAAACAGTTGTAAGTAGCGAAAGCACAAGAGATAGATGGAAAAGGCAACGGCGATAGGTCATGGTAGACAACTATTCAAACTTATCAAAGAAACTGGTATTAGAAATCCGACTGTTAGTGAGCCTATCTCGGAAAAGGGTGGGCATATTATTCGTTCTCAACCCAGGGGATTCGATCGATGGGTAGAGCACTTTAGGGAACAGTTCAAGTAACCGTCAGCCACACTTGGGTTATCCACGATCGTCAGCCAACCTGAATGGCAAGTCGATGTAAGTCCTCCAACTCTTAATGAGACCATAGGAAATCAAAAGTGAAGAAGAGCAACAAACCCTAATAGTTTGACCTCTGATGTTTTTATGGATAATGAGTTGTCAGGGTTGTCCACTTTCTCGATTGTTGCTCAACTTTGTTATTGACATGCTTTTCGAGATGACACTTTCGTCGTCTGACTTTTCAGGAGTTGAACTTTTACTGGGAGATTCACTTGTTGACTTAGAATATGCCGATGAAATAGTTCTTTTTGGTGAATACGCTGGCAAAATGCAGTCTTCTGACCACCCTCAGCAACAAAACACCCACATTCGGGATGCTATTCTCCTCAAAATACAAGATGTTGCTTCAGGATTGGCTTGCATCGGCACCTGAATTAGTGATAGGGAGTGAAGTAGTTGAGCGTGTTGACCACTTCGTTTATCTAAGAAGTTTCATCGGTGCTGATGGCCCGGTTTGTGACGAAACCTCAGCACGGATACAGAACGTTCGATTGGCTTTTGCCAGTTTGCCTTATGTATAGAGTAGGACTAGTCTGCTGCATGGCAGTTCGCTCTGTCCTGTTACATAAATGCGAATCATGGCCAGTAAGAGTTGAGAATACTCGTAGATTAATAGTATTCGATCATAGGTGTCTTCGAGACATTGCTCGTATATCCTGGGGACCATCGAGTATGCAATGCTGTTGTTAGGAAACGAGTACTAGGTTAGGATGGCAGATTAATAGATAAGGTAGTGGGACCTCACCAGTTGAGGTGGTCTGTGAGACAGTCGTAATTGATGGTTAAAAACTTTGTATGACATGGGTCAAAATCGTTTGCGATGGCGCAAATGCATCCACTCTTTGTTTACGCTGATGACCTCGTGAACTCAGGACCTTTGTTTGTCTCTGTTTAGATTTATTTTAGTGGATTATACTTGAATAATTTCTTCCAAACGTTAATCTTTTTGATTACTGTTACTACCATCTAATTTGAATGGACAATTGTATCTCTGTGCTAATGTGTCATGCCAATTTGAACTGATGTACGTGCATACCAAGTTCTGCATTTAAAAGGGTTCCACTAATTGAGGGAACTTCAAACAAATTGTAGCAAATATATTCAGCTACTGTTACTTCCAGTGGAGAAGAGTAGATTGTAGTTACAGTTATCCTTTTAAAGAATAGGATCACCGGTCTAATGATTAAGTCATCCGACTTTCAAACAATAAATTGTAGTCCCGAACCTTGCTACACTCACTCAGTTGCCCCGTTCATCAACTGTGTGGTTTAAAGCTTAGTTAGAAACTGACTAAATGAGTTTGCTGATAGCATAAGTTTGTTACAATTTTCCACTTGTATTTTTTTAAAAATTTACAATCACTTCTTATTATTATTTAATTTTTCATAGGATCGATGTCTTTCAAATAATGTATGTTTTACTCATTGTACACAATCATCTAAACCTGAACTCCGAGGATTATTCAGTGCAGCAATGTATATATATCGAATAATTGGTTTAAGAGGATTCACTAGAGGTATAAGTGCACGTATCTTAACAGCTGTTCCTGGCACTGCTTTATCTTGGTCAGTTTATGAATATTTTAAATGGCGATTAAAACAACCAATCACAACTTTAGGATCTGATTTCACTGGACCTAATAGTAGTAGTGGCAGTGGTATTACTAGTAGTAATAGTGTTCATAAGATTGAGATTTCACCGATAGAAACATTGTGTGTAACTGCCAGTTCTAAATAGATTCTTGATTGCATTGATTTCACATGTACAATAACAATAAGTAAACAACACTACAAATCGATGGATGATCAAGTTTGCATGAATAAAAAAAAACCCAACACACTAGACAAGTCAATTAATTGTATCACTATTGCTACATGGTAAATTTTTAAAATTCTCCATACTTTTTATCCAGTCGCGCTTCCTGTGATGATGATGATGATGACAATAATCATAGTCAAGTATCCATCAACAAAACAACTAATTTACAGAAACAATTGTTTAGTTCACATAAAAAAATATCCTTACTTTATATCCCGTACACATGAAACTTTGTATAGAAAAACAATTAATTATCTTTTTACATTTATCTTTCTTGCGCTTCTTTCTTCTTCTATCTATCTTCTTCTTATTCACCATGCTTTTTAGCCTTCATCATATGTACAAATTACATCCATTTTTGGTTAATTTCTTTCCATTTTTATTTGTATATTGGTTGGCTGGTTGGTTTGTTTGTTTGTTCATCGCAGAGAGATGGGTCAGTGGAGTAGAAGTATGTTTTTGTGATTATTATTATTATTATTCTTATTACTATACATATATATATAGACGATGTAGACATTTTTTTGACCTCTCTTTTTTGTCACATAACATAAGCCATAGAATGAATGTTGACCAATCAGTCAATCCAGTCAGTCAGAGTGTTGTAGTTAGTTGTCCGCAAGTACGTTTTACTTGAAAATATTATTGAACCTGTAGTACTGTACTACATTTGGTCACTACATTGGTCTCATATTCTATGATATTTGCATTAACTAAACTACAGATTATTATTACTGCTACTAGTCAATGATATATATAATTAACAATGTTTCTTGTTGTGTGTATTAATAATACTCTAACTAAAAAAACTGAATGTATGTAAATGAAGTTAATTTGTGTTATAAATAAATACTATTTGATTTGCATTGTTTTACTGAGTCTCGGTTTTATCATTAAGTTGTTCAGTTGATTGTCTCACCATATTTATGTAAAATATCATCTGATGGTTGGTTGATGGCTAAGAATTTATGACTGAACATAATTATGTCAATCATTTGGAATACTACTTACTCAGAGTAAACAGGCCAAAGTTTTGCATATCAACTTCAACCAATGAGAAAAAGATGACCAGAAAATTAAACTACACACTAAAGTTACTAGTTCTGGTGTATAAATTTGAGTTCTGCATAAAATACAATGACTACTAGTATCTGAAATTACCATAACCTTATTCAAAACTCTAAATATCAGATATGCAATAGTGCAACATCATGTCTAACGTATATTGAAAATGTGATTCAAAAATCGATTCTGTAACTGTTTTCAACAGTCAGTATCTACCACTTATCCTGCCGGTTGAGTTGTCTTTTATTTTTTCCCGCTGATCATATGTAAGATGTAATTATTCCGGTATGTTTGCTCTTTCAAAAGACAAACGAGAGGAGGAAATTATTGCCAAACGTTGCAGCATTTTCTGTTTAAGACTTTCAGTATTTAGCAACGCAATAATTTATAAGCCTTTTATAATGACCGCGTAAGTATATGCGGTTAGTATTCATAATCATTCAGTTCAGTATGTGTGCATTTTGAAAATGAGTGCTCCAAAAGTTTGGGTAAGCATCCAACTACCTCGAAATATCCTAGCGTGATATCCACTTTTTTATGAAAGCTGCTGTAAGAAATATCAAGCTCCAGTAAAAATAATTAGGAAAGCTTAGTACAATTAAGCAGCTATTTTTTGAAAAACAAATAATAGGTTCGTATTAAAACATATAGATAGTTTTTGAACTTGGTGATTGAGAACTGTTAAAATAAAGATTGACATCAGGTAAACATAGTGAGAAAGGCTGTAGTACTATGTAGCACTTAGCAGTTGTTCGACATATTCTCAGCTTGACACATTGGTAGTTAGTGAGATTATCATTAAGGAAGTTGAATCCATGCTTAAATGCAACATAATGAGGAGCATTTCGAAATATCTTCTAGTGGAATGAGAAGCTAGTTTACGCGATTGACTTGATCAAAGGGCGTTTACCAGTTTCTGATGAAACATTTACAAATTTTTAGTAGAATGATGTAATTTCTCAATCACATCCTCTGATGTATCAATCAAAGATCAGAGCTTGAAGTAATTCTCTATGGTTGGTCTTTAATGTTAGCCATTTCAGCTTTGATAGGAACAAAAACATTACTTTCAACAATCCTAGAAAATAAGTTCCAGTAATGTACTTTCTAATATCCTATCTTTCATAACAATCGTTTGCTTAACCATAGCCTTGGAACATCTGGTAGGTGAAGGTTACACAGGTCTCGATTCTGTCATTTTATGTGTTGATCGGATTGGATGGAGTTTATCCAGATTTCAATAGTTTTTACCCATTTAGTTACACAGCGGCATTAATCAAATCGCTATCTCGTAGAGCGGAAAGTTTCTGTACTACCGGCACACCAGAAGCAGAATTAGTGACCGTTAAGGAATTTCTCGGGGACAACGGGTATCTACAGGAATTTATTGGGAAAAGTGAAGTTGAAATTCCTAAAGGAACATCTGCAAATAAAAACCTACATTTATTCAACTTAAAATCAATGTGACGGTAGCGCAGCAACAATTGTCACACTGACCAGAACGTATCATGCAGCCAAGCTTGTTATCTTGTATAAAACAATAAGTAAGGCATTTGGGGGCCAGACGGTTGGAATGGTTGCTGATTAGTGCACTGCTGGGTGGCTCGGTAATCCGTTCGGGGCGCCAGGTCTAGCTGGGAAAGCCCGCCTTGCCGATTGGGGATTGTGGGTAGTGGATTGGTTGGAGGGATCTTGTTGATTCATAAGTGCCCGAACGGAGGTCACTGCTCGTGTGTGTGCTTTTTGGACGTCCACTTGTCTGCAGACCAATCTAGACGACATGAATGTTCCCGTACGGGGCAGGGGTGATCGCAATATTGGCTCTTGTGTTGCTTAGAATGCAGCGGCGAGCATATACAGCAGGCATGCTGGTTAACCAAGACTATTCATTCACAGATCTTTATGTGCTTGATTCATGTTACCGCCAAATGTGTGTACAGATTTTCCTGTACCTGCCAAAGCAGTCACATTGATGAAGCGGAAAAAAGGGTCTATGTTGGATTCTAAGAACATATCCCGATAAGTCTCAAACCAATAGGTTTAATGGCTTGTAGCAGTACAATTGAACTTCTCTTTGACATAGAGCATCAAATTAATGAACTTAAATATTTCAGAATCGACAATCTAATCCACCACAGCCACTGAACTCTTCAAGCCGGATTTATGTATCCAAAATAACAGTGTCATATCTTTCTTTACCGTGGTTGGCTTTTCGTTAGTTTATTACATCATTCTTACAACTTCTTCTCTTAGTTAGATTGCATCACTTCCTTCAAATCTATAATTTTTTTTAACTGACTAATCTCATTCCATGTTATTTGCGATTACCATTAGTTTGTGTTCATCTATTGCATTACATAACCAGTTAGCTTTATGATCTCTTATTTGATGATTTATCGTCGAAATCGTTCACAGTTAAAAAACTATTAAAAATCTGGGAGCACCGTCCCACTATTTCGTCCTAGTATATCTCTTCAACATCCTAACATTTACTCGAATTGCGTCGCCATCATAACGAAACATATCTACATTTGATTAATGTCAGTGTTATAAGTAATGTTAACTTTATGATAATATTGATTCAAATATATTATAGGTTTTAAGGAGCTAACGAAATATGATGAAAGCATTTTATTCTACTAGATTCTCTGTTCTTGCAACTTTTCAAATCAATCACCATCCAGAGAGTGTAGAGCATATTCATTTACCAACCTGCTAGATACTAAACCTGACTTTCATATTCATTTATGATATTCGAGCAGGTTTGCTCATATTATTGTAAGTGGTTTGGTTCGGTATGGTTACTGAACAGTCAGTTACTGAAATACACAACGTTGTGAGGCTAAAGGCGAACGACGATCTATCTAGAAAATAGAAGAAACTAACTTAAACTAAAGCCCAATTTGATTATGAAGAATCAGTTGCGTTAAAAATTCGAACATGCACTCAACTAAATTTAAAAATTTCTACAGTATATACTACTGAAAGACACATCAAATAAGGATAAATAAACTAGTTTGCATTTGCACGATAACATTTTCAGAGAAATCAACTTCATGAAAGGATTAGTAAAACATCTTAGGTTACGACGTTTGAACGAATACATTTCATTGAGAAATACGAAGAAATAAAAATTAAGTTTATTCCTCTGAGTACCTCTGGCTTCATAAAACTGTAGAACATTACTCATAACCTGTATCTTTAAAATTCATTTCATTATATGGGAAAGATTAACTTACAATTCTGAACGAATAATATTGGATGGATTTACATTGATTGATTCAAGAGTAAACATAACCAATAGGATTATTTGTATGATATAACGGTATAAATCGAGTTCGGAAGTAAAGAAGACTTGATTTTATCAACTGATAGCCCTAAGTATCACAGTAATCATATTCGTTTATTGAAATTCACACAAATTCAATAGTAGTAGGAGATTAAGATTTCTGTAACTAAAATAAACTCCAACATAAGCAATAAGTTTGTTGTTACTAGACTCATTTGTATACCATTAAAAAACTCTTCTTCGGTAATACTTAGAGTTAAAAAGTATTTCATCCTTTATATTTCTAACATTTTATGCTTGAAATGTTTCTCGTTCAGAAATATTTCAAACAGTTTGACAGAATGAAATTCCATCTGTCAGCTCACTTTTGAAATTTAGTTGATTGGAAAAAAATTAATAGTGAATTGGAAACTTTTTATGATATCAGTCAATCAGTCAGTGGAATTTCAGAAAAGACTTATCTACTGCTTAACTCAATACACAATCACTGACTTTACTTACACCTGTTACCTCCAGTAGAGTATAGGCAGCCGACCACCATTCACCAGCCTAATTTGTACTGGGCTTCTCTTCCTAGTTCTGCCTAACTTTTGTTCATTCTTCTCATGTGTGTCTCAATTTCTTGGAGTATTGTGTTCATTGGCCGTCTTTTTCTTTGACCTTGAGGGTTTCAAATAAAGGCTTGTCTTAAGATACAGTTGGTTGCTTTCCTCAATGTAAGTTCTACCTACTTCTTTTCGATTTCCTACTCTACTGGAATCTGGTTTGTTCTTTCCCACAGTACGTTGTTGGTGATATTGTCTAGCCAACGAATCCGAAGTACCTTGCGTAGACAACTGTGAATAAATACTTGTATCTTTTAGATGATTGCTTTCCTAGTTCTCCAAGTTTCCGCCCCATACATTAGAACGGTATTGACATTTATATTGAAAATGCTGATTTTAGTGTTGGTTGATAGATGTTTGAAGTTCCAGATGTTTTTGGATTGTAGAAATGCTGTCCTTTCTTTGCCTATACGTACCTCAATATACAATTCTAATCCTATATTTTTAAAAAAACAATTAACTATCATTTTTACTTCTGATTGAAATTTGAGATGAAGATGGTGTGAAATATTCTATGAATAAATAAAGTAAATACTGAAGGCTTATCATGAAAGATCTTGTTAATGAACAAGTCTTATTGACCTCGGAAATAAAGTCTAGTGTAATTTCGCAAATCGCAACTTTTTTTTTCTCTCTCTCAAAGAATTTATTCTATTCTTTTAAATAAGATTTATTTTGTTGTGTTCGTTTTTTTTTCAATCAAGTTCATAGAATTTTCTGTTTTTAATCATGTTAATTTATTATCTATACAGTTGAATCAATATTATTGCTATATATTCATTGTAAGATCCATTTTTTGAAGTGTTTGTTTGTGAAAATCCCTCCATGTGTACATCTGTAATTTGTCTTTATTGATTATCATCCAGTTGTACATTTTGTTAATCTGTTCGATTCCATTTTGGGGATG